CCGCCCGGGCTGCACACGAGCTCCTCTGGCCTGCTGGCGGCCCCGGTGCTGGATCACGGCCCCCGCAGCGCCCCCCCGGGGAAGGAGTACATCCCACTGGCGTCAGGGATTGAGCCCAGTGGCTGGCCTCACTGAAAGCCCCGGCCACACCGGGCAGCACAGGTGTCGCTCGCAGCACTGATGCTGCACAAGCAGGCGCTCGCTCGCGCCGAGGCACTCCCCCAGCTCTGCCTGACCCCAGTGCACAGCTGCTGCCGGTTTTGCAGCCTGCAGGCAAAGCTGAGGTCGCCTGAACGCGGTGCACGCGAACCCTTCCAGCGGCACAGGTCTCGTCTCAGCCCGTGCGTTGGTGTGGCGCCGGGTCGCAGCGTGAAGCAGAGACGGCACGCCGGATGAGCGCTGCTTTATGTACAAGTGCAGCTAGTACAGAGCTCGCGCCCGCAGCGAACGCGGCACCTCGCTGCCATCACGCCGTTCTCCTTCCCCCGGCAAGGCGGTAGCACCGGGGCGGACAAGCCGGTCTTCCTGGCATCGCAGAGGCAGCCGGCGCTCCGCCCGAGGGGCATCGCACAGCAGGGCCCCAGGACATGGCAGCCCAGCACTTCGGGGGGGGCAGAGGGCTCCCTGCCAGCCTTCAGGCCACATCGGCCGAGCCTTTCACCCGCCTTGAAGCGTGGGCAGCACATGGCGACGACATGCATTTAACACTAAGACACGCGGAGCCCCCGCCCCCCTGCGCCAGGGCCCCCCCGCAGCGCAGCACAGCACAGCACGCTAGCAGCTGCAGGCTTGCACGAGCTCTGCTCCGGAGGTGCCAGGGCCACATACACGACAGGGAGAAGTAGTGCAAGCTCCTGCCAGGCCCCAGCTTGCACACATGTAGGCAATGAAGGGTCAAGGGACTCTCCCCGCCGGCGCGGAAGAGTCCGGTGATAAACACCGACATTAACAGGGTCAGACGGTTGGTGCCAAGCAACCGGCTGCACTGGGGGTGGCGCTGGTTACCCAGGCCCTATAAAGGGGCGCGAGGCCTGTTCGTAACTGGACTGCCCAATGCAGCCTGCACCTGCCGCCCCAGACAGCAGCGCTCGGTGCCAGGGGCTGGCCGTGCTTTGGCTAGCAAATAGCTTCCCAGCCTGCATGGCCCACAGAGGTGTTTGGAGGGGCTGAGGTGCGGTGCCTGGGGGACAGGGCCCCCAGCAGAGTGAGGCCAGGTTTAGCATGATGCCGCAGCCAGGTGCAGCTAGGGCTGGGGACAGCGGGTGCTGGGGGGACGTGGCTCAGCCTGGGACAGGCCTCCTCCTGCCCTGTGCCAGGCTGCCTGGGTTGGGCACAGCTACAGCGACTGCGGCTCCTTCTGCTTGTATTGCCTGAAGCGCGTCTGGATGGTCACCGCCGCTCGCTCCGTCGCGGTGTACAGCGCCGGGCTCTCACGGCTCCACTCGGGTGCGGGGGTCCCTGTGGGGTGGAGGGCAGAGCCGTGAGCCACAGCCTCGGCCCCCTCCCTCCCCGACAGCATAGGCCGCAGCAGCTGTGCCTGTCCTGCGCCACGGGGCAAGGTGCTTTGTCCGCCTGAGCCACTTACTGGCCCAGCCCTGCTGAGAACAGAAGTGGAAGAATCCTATCTGCTAAACGCTTGACTTCATGAGAGGCAGCACAGGGTCAGGAGCAGGAAGGTGGTTTGCGCCAGGCCGAGGCTAGAGGACAGGACAGCGGGGCCTGGGAAGGGCTTTTCCTTTTAGCAGGGGTGTCCTGGCATCTTGACTTAAAAGTTCAGCTGAGTGTAGAGCCTGCTGAGGGCGGGCGCTGGGCTGCAATCCTGCCCGCCAGCCCCGCGGCACGGCTCTAGCACCCGGCGCCCCAGGCAATCCCCAATCCCCCGAGCAGCACGGAGGATGCTATGCACTCACCTTTCTGCCCGGGGAGCGAGTTGGTGCTGTTTTTTCGGGAGCTCCCACCTCTCTGGAAGGAAGAAAGGATGAAAGGGCTCAGTTAGAGGGAGGACGGGCACTCTGAGGCCAGCTCTGAAGCTCTAGCAAAGGACAGGCCTGGTTTTGAGAGCTTTTTGCTCTTGGAGTAATGTCAAAACCCTCTGGGATCCTAGAGACACTTACAGTTGTCTTCATAAAGTGACCTTACCCATAATGGTTGGATTAATTCAGCATCTTAACACGACGGGGTGGGCAGAAGTATAGATATGAGCCTTTATAAACCACCTGTCTCTGTTTCCCCGGCTCCTCAGCATATTACACACGTACGGCCTAACCGCACTGCTGGGCTTTCCGCTGTAAATCACTGGGACAAGGAGACTAAGTTTATCCGCTTCATCTTGCTGTCACCCAGCAGCACCGATGCTGTGATGTCTGAGCTCCAAGCGCCGCAGTGAGATGCCCAGGAAAAGCAGCTTTAAGTGTATCGAAGGAGAACGTTTCTCTTGGCTGGTGCCCCTTTAGCACCGGCCCCCTGTGCCTCTGCTCTCGGCCCCGGGCTGTTCTGAAGGGATCGCGCGGTTAATAAATGTGCAGTTCTCCTCTTGGACATCTGACTTGCCCCTTGTGTCATTGCCAGTCCAGCAGCTCATCTCAGTCCAAGCCAGGAGGTTCCCCTGAGCTCCTAAAAACCCGGGCAAGTGCCCCCCACCACTGAGCCTGCAGCCCTTGGATCGAGCGCGTGCCCTTTTTGGGGACCCCTTGACTTGGCAAGCTCACAGAGCAGGGCTTCCTCGGCCCCAGCCGTGCAGGTGCTGGTAGCCACGGACAGAAATAATCCATTGGTAGCACTGGGCTCAGGTGTTTTCTGTGCTTGAATGGACAGGCATGTGCCTAGCACCCCCAGGCAGAGCAGCGTGCCATGGGGCTACATGCTCACAGAGCCCCCAGTGCCAGGAAGCCCCTGTCCCCAGGCGCTGAGCAGGCACGAGAGACTGGGGCTGGCAGGGGAGAGGGAAGCCTGGATGCCTCCAGTCGCCCGGCGGCTCGGTGGCAGCTGGGGACGAGGCTGCTGGTCACCCCACATGGCATGCTGGCACCGACCTGCTCCGTGCAGGCTTGGAGGGCTGCGTGCACCCGGCAACCTGCCACGACCAGGTCCCCAGCCCCCTCCACCCACTGGACGTCCCGGCCAGAGCCCCGTACATACCTCGCCGTCCCGGCTGGCTCGGCGGTTCTGCGTCACGCACTGGACCTGCCAGGGCAGGGGCTGGTACACGAGGTAGGGCAGCGGCTCCTTGTGGAACAGGTTGGTGCCGAGCTGGGAGGTGGAGAAAGGCAGTGCCCGTTAGCCGCGCTGAGTCCCTGGAGCGAGCAGTGTGCAGAGCCGGGGCGGCCTGGCCCTGGGACGTGCCTCGCCCCAGTCACCCATGTATCAGAGCCACGAGGGCCTTTAGTGCCTTTATTCTGAGTGTTTCCAGGGGGCGAACATCGCTACTGGGTCAATGGCAACCGAGGCACAGAGCAACTAAGTGCCTTGCCCAAGGTTACGCAGGGAGTCTGTGGCACAGCAGAGGAGCAGCGGGACCCTGGGCCCAGGCCTCTGGCTGCTGCAACGATGCACCAGGGCCGAGGTGGCAGGAGCAGGCCAGAGGCAGCGATACACGGCAGTTCGGAAACTGCAGAAATGCCCCAGCCCAGAGGCCGTGGCTCACTTGGGTGCCGTCCCCCAAGGCAGGGGGAAGTTCTGTGACTCATCTGGGATTAGGGCAAAAGCCAACCGGTGGGACAAGCCTAATGCTCCTAAGTCCTTGTGCTGGCGGCTGGGCCCTTAAGCCTCCTTTTGGACGCATCATCTTCCATTTGTGACATCACACCTGGTTGCCAAGGAGATGCTTACGAAGTCACAAGCAGCAGATTACAGCAACACGGGGAGGAATCACCAGCTTTGGCTGGTCAGCTCTTAAGCAGCCCAGATCCCAGTTACAGTCTGTTACTGGTGGAGGCAGGAGAGCTCCCAGCGAGGTACAGCTGCGGCTCCGAGGCTCGCACATGGCGCCGCGGGGCACCCGGGGCCAGCAGCCTGGAGCTCGTGGCCAGGCCCACGCCGCTCACATTCAGAGCCACAAAGGCGGGAGGCAGGAGCAGGTCCCCTCATCCTGCACGCGTATTCAGGCTGGGCAAGGGCCACCACTCCCTGCGTGGGCAGGTGGGAGGACGGGACCCCACGGCAGCCTCTGCCAAGGCCACGAGGCCCCAAACAGGCCTGAAGCTGCTGCTGTGGAAAGCCTCCTTCCAGTCCGACACGGAGCTGTTCTCCCCTGAGCCCCTCTGCAGCTTTTTGGGAGCTGGCGGGATTTTGGAAAGGGAAAAGGCCTCTGATGTTTGAGTCCCGAGACCAGAATTCACCAAGCCCTCGGGAACGCCAGGGAATAAATGGCATGACTGGGCACACGGCCGACAGCACAGTGCACCTGCATTCGCAGGCAGCAGGACCAGGCCTGGGGGCAGGGGGTCTGGGTGACAGGTCGCCGGACAGTCGTCCCTGGCAGGTTTTGCAGCCCATACAGGGTGGAAGGAAGGAGCTTGGAGTGCACGGCCTCCTTCCAAACCGCTGTCTCCCTTCACCACCCGGTTGCTCGCACACTCTTGATTAAGCCGACAGGCTCTTTGGCAACTAACCATCCATTCGCACATCCGCGGAGCCCAAAGCCCAGCCTGGCCCAGCCCAGACTCACCCGTCTGAACGCTCTCACCATGAAGAACAGCGCTGTCATGAGGGTGGCCAGCATGGCCAGAGTCTCTGCTGGGCTCCCCCACTTAGGGAAGGAGAAGACGGCCTGAGTGAGAGCCCCGAGCGTCTCCGTGGCGGCAGCTACTGAAGCAGCCCCTTCTCAAGCAGCAGCAGCAGCAGCAGCAGCCGCTGGACAGGTGGCCTCTGCTGTTTTAAGGAGCTTAGAGCGTGCGTTCATCGGGGCTGAGTAATTGCTCGCTGTCCTTTTGCTCTCCTAATCGCTGGGCTCATGTGGCAAACACGATGCTTTAAGAACAGCGCATCCTCTCCCGTCTCCCCCCGGCCTCGCTGGTCCCCCTCCACTGGACCGTGCAGGGAAGGTCGACAGGCTGGGCCACAGCCGGGTTGTTTAGCCGGATGCCAGCCGGAGCAGGCAGCGGGGTGAAGGGACCCGGTTGCTTAAATCACTGGCCTGCCCAAGTGAGGTGCAGCAGATGAAGACAGATTTGGGAAAGCGGCAGGGGCTCGGAGCCCAGGACACGCCCCACTGCTCCCCCAGAACATGCCACAAGATGGCTGTACTTCATCTGGCTTTTAATTAATGTTTCCCATCTAATTAGCAACCGCCAGGGTGGGGGAGTTTTCCACGGGGGTGGGACTGTCCCACTGAGCCACGTCTGTGTTTTTGGCTATGTCGAGTGGCACCCATCCAGCGTGTAGCAGCCCTTCCACAGGCCTTGTCAGGGGGGAAATGTTCGAGCACCCATCCAGCTCGGGATTAGCAGAACGGTGTCCAGAGCGCTGCAGAATGGGTGGCTATGGCTACGACTCGCAGCGGGACCCACCACTGGGACGAGGACGGGCCGATGGCAGCTCCAGATGTTTTCACTCTTTGGCGTGGGCCCATCTCCCCTTCAGCTGTGAGCCTGATGTGACCCATGTACGTTTGACATGATTTGACACGCTGCCACCCATGCCCAGACCTTGCTGTCACATGCCGCAGCACTTAGGGCTGGTGCTTTTCCAGGAACTGCTCGCATGGCCCCTTCCACGTTACTCGTTGCCTCTAGCTTAGAGCAACTCAAACTGCACCAAGCTGAAGTGGGAGCGGGCTGCAGAGCTACTGTGGGATGCCTCACCCCAGGGTCACAGGGCAGCTGGTAGGTGCAGCCCAAAAGGGACCCTCAGGACCCCTCCTAGGCCCACCCCTAAGCTCACTATATAGATGCTACCAGGGGGCAAGCGAACATCTGAGCAGTGCACATGGGAGTCTCACAGGCAGTTTTGCACCATTTAATCCTGAATTCACCCTTGCCAGATGTAAATTAACCTGAAGTTTCATTGCCTTTTGATTTCTTCCTGATTCAGGAGTAACAATCATGATTCCCAGTTTGATTTTGTCCCACGTTTTGCTTGGTTCACCTTGTCCTCCTGGTCACATTGTCCATATGGGTAGGATCTGGCTTGGCTGAAGCAACCTTTTTCCTTTCCCTACATAAGAGATTCTGCTTTGGTTTCTCACATATTCATTCAGTCATCCTCCAGATGATGGCAGAGGGCAGCGAATAACAGCATGTTCCCCTGACATGGTGAACGAATTCCTGCACGAGAGGCTGCTTTGGACAAATGAGAAGGAACCTGAAGGAAGGCAAGAGACCAAAAAGGAGTATGGAGGAGCACTGAGGCTGGCAGCTGACACAAATAACACGCCTGTGCACAAATCAGCAACACGTTCACATATATAAATATATACCTCAATACACACGTGCAGATAGGTTTTCTTTCTAAAATGTGCAGCCCTTGACATCTATTGCAAAGAAAGGCTAAGCTCAAAGCCACCTGAGGACAAGTGAAAGAGGTGTGCAGAAGGTACAAGCAGACCCCCAGAGAGGAACGTGGGACACAAAGCGTCACAACAGGGAGAAAATAAGGCTACAGACATCGCCATCATCCAAAATAGGCCTATGCGGATTTATTTTATATATAAAAGATACAGCTGATATCACAAGATTCAAAGGGAAAAAATAAACCTGATTCAGAAGCACAGCATTCTTGTTAATAAAATAGGCTTTTATCCCTACTGAGGTGTCTGGTTCGCCGCAGCGCACAGCCTGGAGTCTCCAGCCACGTGCTGGGCACAGGCTCATGCAGCTGCCAGCCCTTCAGGGCTGTGACAGGCGGGATGAGAGAGGGGCTGTCAAGGGCTTCCCTGGGGTTTCTCTCATGGCAGGAGGACAAAGTGCAACCCCCTGCCTTGGGCTCTGTGTAATCTGGTAGCACATTCAGGGGGTCCACGCTAGGGTCCACACCCTTATCCCGAGACGGATTCTGCAGGAAAGGTGCCAGGCTCAGCGGGCATTCAACATCTCTGTCCACCTGCGCTAAATCAGCAGAGGTGGAGCGTCTTTCCTTAAGCAATGACTTCAGCATGGTATGGCTAACCCAGCATCTCTCAGAGGCATCACCAGCCCTCTCAGCCAGGGAAGGACCCTATGTTCAGACCCATCTCTTCACCCACGTGCTCCCAAATCCCTGCGTAAAGGGAAGCAGGTCATCTGAACAGCTCACAGCAGCAATATATGTGGAAAATGGCTACAAAACAGAGCTGCTGCAAGAACAGCATCTTGAACAGAGAAGCAGCTTTCTATTTGTACCTAGACATTCCCCGCAGCATGTGCCAGTGCGTACGGACCAGGGTCCCCCTCCCTGCTCTGCTTTCCTCTCCTCATGTCTCGATCCAAGAGGAGCCATGTGAGCAGCCCTTCCTGGAGCCATCTCCTGGCATGCGAGTGGTTTGCAAAGACTCTCTTTCACCAGTGGGTATCCCCTTAATGCAAGCTCTTCGGGCCAAAATGATGGCACAAGCAGCACTTGTGGGTATCAATGTTTTGCAAAAGCCGGTGCAGACAATGCGTGGATAACAGACACCAATCAAGCACCAGCCCATGCTGCCTCCCTGCATCCTCCTGCTGCCCTGAGATGTCTGGAGGTCAGTGGGTTTTTAATCACCAAACAACTCCAAGTGCCTGTGGGACGGGTCCAAAGCCCTGTGGAGGCACCTCGCAGCAGGCTTTGGCTCAGAGCCGGGCATTACTTTGCCTTGTGCACCATCAACCTCAGCTCTGGCTTCAGCCTCGCTGCCTGGGGATGGACCCATGGTGCCAGGCCCAGGCCTGGACCCCAGCTGTAGGACTGCTCAGCGTGGGTGTTCTGGGCACTGCAGGGAAGGTACATGGAGTCGTGGCCACTCGCCTCATCCCAAACCAACTCTGCTGATGCCAGCACCAATGGATGCACTAGTGCAAATGGCCACGGGCTCTGTCAGGCAGCTCTGCTCAGGTGAGTGAGGGGATGCACGTGGGCTCCCAAAACAGCTCTGAGAACAGTCCTGATCAGACCCAGGCAGTTCTGGCAGGGGTGGTCTCCTCCCCAGCATATGCTGGGTAAGGCGGCCCTGCTGAGCACCACCTGCTGCCTGACAAAGAGAAACAGTCTCAGAGGCTTTGCCTCTGCTGTCCCCTGAGCGATGGCTGAGCCTCATGACTGAGGCACTGCGAAACCTCGTAAACATTTTCTGCTAGAAATACACTCAACATTCAGCATGAAAGGAAACCCTGGTGTCCCTAGGTGGAGGTGGCAAGAGGACGGGTCCAGGAGACAAACGTGGCATCGGCTCGGCCCGGCGCGGGGCCCAGAGGCTCTCACCTCCATTGCTCTCAATTCTGTGCTTCAGTGTAAAAAACATAATTGCAGACATTTTGCTTTTCATGCTCCCAAGCTCAAGGATGTATCACAGAGGGCTGGTGACTGAGTTCACCTGACACCAATGTTTGTTGTGCATCAACAGGGCATTCATTTCCTGAATATTTCCTCTGGCAACAGTTTTCTGTTGGAATTCACCTCCTCCCCTCAACACGTTATTCAAAGTCCTCGGTGATTCACAGCTTCATCATGTGATTGCTGGAATACTAATGAGGGAACTGTTGATTTATTGAAGCCCTGATATTTCACCACTGGATTAAACAGTCTATAAAGTATATTTGGACACATTACAGGATTAAAAGAATCCACTGGGGAAGTTTGCTTCCTCCCTCCTCCACTCTCCTGGAAGGAGAGACTTTATTTCAAGGGCAAAGCAAAAGAGCCCTGTGGATCTCTGCTGTACTGTGTATTGCAGGGGACTGCAGCGACGTCACCATCTCACCAGGCACTTGTGGGGCACACGGCTGGGACTGCCACATCTCACCGGAGGGTCCACAACCTCTTAGTAGTGATACACTTTAATCTGGTTGTTTTCATCCAGGCCAAGCTGCACCAGGTCTGGGCTGCTCACAGACAGCTTCTGTGTGCTTGGGAAGAGAGGCCTGGCAGGCTGGTGAAGGAAAAGCCTGGCTGACATGGGGGAGACGCATGCACAGACATGGCAAATGGGCCTCGCACCTTGTGCTTATATGCCATATGTAGACCTCTGGCCTCCAGGCCAGCAGCATTAAAGCAGGATTAGCAAAGGTCTCATGGAGCCAGGACAGCTTGCTGGGGCTAGAGGGCTGGGGCCATATGTGTGCTGCATGGGGGTGGTCTGCAGCCCCACAAAATACTGCAGGCAAAAGGCAAGCAAGGCAGCCTGGATCATCCCCCTCGCAGCACAGACTTTTTCCTAGCAGCAATTCTCCCCTCTGACCACCTGCCTGATGCAGGCCCTATGGTCTCTAGCCACATGGGGCTTTCTGGGTGTCTGTGAAAGAACCTGCTCTGGGAGGAGCTCTGTGATGCATCCTCCTGCAATGCTGCTGGCTCCCCTCCTCCAGAGATGCTGCAGCCCCCATCGCTTGAACAGTGGGCTTCATCCAGGCACCTCGATTCTGACGTACCACCACCCTGTGCCTCTTCACCAGCACCTCACGAGGGACTGCCGGCACCACAAGCCCACGTGGTGGGCTCCAAAGACATGAAAGCTCCCCCGCTGGCTCCCCATCCCCATCTGCTCCCCGCTTCCATCTCCCACCCAGCAGCAGAAGCACAAATGAAGACAGTATCGAGGCAAAGGATACACTTTTGAATCCTTCTTGAAATTTTCCAGCCATCTCTTGTTGGCATCAATCATTCCCTGGATGCTCGTCTTGTCTGCCTCAGGGCTCCATGCCTGGGAGCGCTGGTACAAGCGGACTTGCTCACTGTCATGAGAGGGGCAGGGGGGAAGAAAAGATCTCAGAAATGGGAAGGGAAGCAAGGGCTGGATTCTGCCAGCAAGCATCCTCCTCCTGGCTCCAGCTCATCTCCCCCCACCACCAGAGTGAGATGGAGCTTTGGCCACCACGTCACCCAGCTGTGCCCTGCTTGCTGTCATCTGGGCCCTGCTCTTGACAACTGCCCCAGCTTCCCAGATGGCTCTGGAGGAGTCCTGACTTCCCCACTCCCTCCCAGCTGGCAGGCCCCACCTAGTAGGAAAAGCCCTGGTGGGATCCATATCTGCAGCGCGACTCAAGCAGGTCGTGGATGCGCAGACAGGTGCACACACTAGGCAGACGCCAGGCCTCTTTAACAATACAAGGGCGTTCCAATGGGCAGAGCCGTGGGAGTAGCTGGCCCAGGAAATGATGCTCCTGAGTGTTTCTTCACTGCCAGGGACGGGCGAGCAGGTCTGTGGGCCAGAGGGAAACAGCTGCCTTCACTGCTGGGAGGCAGGCTGCTCTGAAACCACCTCTGTGTTTGCAGCCCACTGGGCCCACAACACAGCCCACAGAGAGCTTCACTGCTGCTGCCACCGCCGCCAAGAGTTTGCCTCACGGCCATCGCACCTGAAAGCCTGGCAGCGTTCACAAGGCTGTGGCTGAATGCGAGCCAGGCGGGTGCCTGAATGCTCCGTCCCCTCGACCAGAGGAGAAAAGAACCGGCACTTCCCAGGCTGCAGAGGAGGTGACACAGCCGCAAGGGCAGGCTGCAGATGGCCACTGGGATGACTGTATTGTTGCACAGCTGCAGCCCTCAGGGACTAGCCCCAGAAGGACTCTCTGGAAGAGCAAGAGGGCACTTCTGGCTGCTAGGGAGCTCCTCAGCTTAGACAAAAGGACAGCAGCTCCTAGCCAGCCCTGCACTGAAGTGGGAGACCGCACACAGCCTGGTGCCAATGCCCTGGCTATTCTGGCCCTCGAATGCGAGCATCATCCCCACTAGCTGCAGTGCTGTAAGAGCCTGACACAGCTGGAAAGGGAAGCTGGCTCCTAACCTGCACTCAGAACCTAACCCATTTAAGTAACAAGTAGGTCAGAGCAAAATCACAGCTGACCTACAAACCACAGCAGAGAAGTGGCAGAAGCACAATGAAATAGCCACACTCGAGAGAAAGGAGCCTCACCCAGCAGGCAGGTAACCTAGTTTGCTGTCCGGAGGGGCAGAGCTTCCATTGAACAGCGGGAACCCACCTACAAGAGACAGAAATTAAATACAGACAGGGAAGAATTAAATACACCACAGATCTCACTCTGGGTCCATCCTGTGCACCCCAGAGCTGTCACAGTCCCTGGTCACCATCTTGTACCTGCCAGTGAAAGCACATACTGAGGTGCTTCTGAATGATGCTGTAGCACATGCTCATGGGAAACTCTGCAGCAAGATCCCCTGGGGCTCCCATTTGACTTCCAACAGAAGACAGGAAGTAAGAAAGCCTGTGACTGCTCCCTCCCTCCCTGTTATCACTTCCACCATGAAAAGAAACAAATTAGCACACCAGGACAACCAGATTCTGCCTCTGGGGCAGGATCTAGCCCCAAGGACTCACACTGGGTAGAAGGGGATGGACTGGCAATGCTGGCACCAAGCCAGAGAGGACTCCACACAGAATGGATGGGGCTGGGAGGGGATGCTTAGTATATGCCCCTGGCAGAACTGCCCACCCCAGAATGAACCCCCTCAGCTGCCAAGAGTGCCAGCAGCCCCTTGTCCAGGTTGTGCTTCAATTTAAATCCTTGACAGAAGCAAGCACCCCCATCCCTCGCAGCCACACAGCTCAGCCCCACGGGACCCTCTGCATCCTCCCCTCACTGCTCCACACCACCGCTTACAAGTGAGGGAATTGAGCAGGGGGTCTGTTAGCACACAGCTGCTAAACTCAGGGGCAGGGCGGGGTAGGGCAGCCATCCCTATTGCCAAGCCTAGGCAGCATGGCACTAATGCACGAGCTGAAATGCTCTGTTGGGGAGGCAATCAGCAACTGCAGTGCCAGGGAGTGAAACGCAGTGCTTCCAAATCTGTGCCAGCTTGCCTGGCTCTGCCAGGCCTTGTGGTCCTGCCAGACAGCTGGTGACAGGTAC